CAAGATGAGCTCCGCCCAGGTAGACCGAGGATAGAAGAGAGGACATCTGAGTTTCTAAAGGCACCATAAAGTTGACTTTTGTGGTTTTTCATGAATTGTTTGGAAAAATATTTGATGTGAACATACTGGCTGTCTAACCAGGGTGCAACCTGTTTCTACAACAACAGTTGCAGCCTGCATTTAATAAGTGGTTAAGAAAATGAATTGGTGGATTTGATGTTCCCATTATGAATGTAACAACTTAAATGGATCATTAACTTAATGTCCAGTGCCACCTTCAGATGAAGATATCCTTTTGCATTTGCTTTCACTTTTCTTCAGTTCCCTCTGTGTTAAGAGCTGATTGGTAGAATGCTAATACTCTGACTTCACATATTGAGCATGGTAAACATTATAGTAGTTACAAAGCAGTATGATTTGCATCCTATTGTTAGTTGTTTGTTTTTTTTGGGTTTTTTTTAAGCAAAAACTCCTAAGTGCTTCATTGCAATACTATTAATTTTTATTTTTGAAATTAAGGGCATAATGTGTAATGACATAAAAGATGGCTTTGTTATAAGGCTGCTAAATAGCTGTTTTTTGTGGATTGTCATTATATACATGCTACAGTTTATTTCGTATGATCAGGTCTAGTGTATGGCCAGGGCTATCTTATAAAGGGGATTTTAATCTCACTGGGATTTAATGTTAAATATATGTAAAATGGTAGTTCTTAGTGTTATAAATGTAAAGCTGACTGAATGCAAAAAGAGATATAGAGTGTAACAGGCCCTGTGATTTATAGCCAGATGGAGTCACTGATGCATTCAAGTAACTGTTTTAAAGATGAAGGTAGCTCACTGGGTAATCTTGCACTCTGGGTCAGAGTTTAAACACACATTTGTTGTGTCTGATTGAGACTACAGAGAGGACAGATTATTTAAGATGGGAAAACAACAATGAGCACAAAGCTTTAATAGCAGAAGTCTGTCTGGGCGTCTGCATGTCTGCTGACCTTTTTCCTGATTTCCTCTTCCTCAGTGGCAGAAAAACAAGCTTCAATCAGTTTGTTTTAATTGCCAAACAAATATACGTTCTGTTAATTAAAACTGAAATACGATGGCTTTTCTTTGTGTTGACTTCACTCGAGATACTCACCCACGTACAGTACCGTGAGATGTTTTCAATGAGTTTCTGGGGATAGAAAATGCAGTGTTGTTGTCATTAAAGCTGATGTGTGCTTCTTGATTGTTACGCCTCTCAGAGTTAAGTCTGTGTGCAAACAAAAGCCCAGTTCCTGTCAAAGACTAGGGGGTAAACTTTATCCCAGAATCCTCTCAGGGACGAACGCATTTCTCTGCTCTGTCTAATTATTCCTTTGGGTTTCAGGGGTGGCTGGACAATGTTTTAAGAAGCCAGTTCTCCAGGGATTAATTTCTCTCATGCTTTGCCTAATTAAGGTATTAACAAAATGTAATAAACTCTTGCCAGAGGATGCTTCAAAGCAGTGCATTGCTCATTGCTCCAGTTGCCCCATCAAATATGTATTTAATCTAAGTATAATGTAGTGGCTACAGAAGATAAACACATTTACCCACAGCTATAAAGCCTAGGAATCGATATAAACCATTTCTTTGTTTACTCTCTTGTTTGTAGTTTGATTGCCTTCAGGGAAACAGAGAAGCAGGAAAAACAGAGAGGCAAAGATTAAAACAAAAAAACAGGGAGTAAGAAAGCACTGTCTCTGTAGTCTTCGTCATCATCTCAATCATCACCACCATCATCAGAACTCTTCAAAGGATCCTGCCCTTTTTAAAAGTCGGGATATGAGGAGATCTGATAAGCTTGGGCTCAGGGTGGTGCTGCAGTCCTTTTGGTGTCAAACTCACTGGAGAGTCCGCCTGGCTTCAACCATTCTTTAAAGCTGAGGATAGTCTCAAGCACTTAGCCAGGATTAGCTGAAGAGCACTGCTTTGAACAGGACAAAGATTTCAGCCATCCCCACAGTACAGCCATTATGCCATCAGCAACCTGTCTGTAAGCATCAGATGATTTGCTCTAAGTGATGAGTTGTTTAAGTCTTTTTCTGCCAGTGATCATTAGAGTTGCCTCCCATGTTTTTTCATCAACTCTGAAATCCAATGATATTCCCAATATGCCTGCAAATAAAATCTGCTGTATGCCTGTTTATTAAATGTAAGTTGAGAGCAAATAAAATAATTGCAAAAAAAAGAATGATATTGATTGTAAGGCTCATTTTATAGTGAGCAAGCTAACTTTGATGCACAGAAACAAGGCTTATGAATTTCATGAGGTATCTTACAGTTTGTCATCCCTATTTGAATTATGAAAATTACATCATCACAATCAAAAATATTTTTTAATTCTAATTTGAGCATTTCTCTCACAGTCACTTTATAACTTCCTAATTCTTGATTAACTGTCTTTTTCTGGTCTCTCCTTCAAACCTGCAGCATTACAATTGGCCAAAAGAAGATAATACATGATATACTTTCCAAAGTCTCACTCTTGGCTTTTATTTTATTTTATAATATATTTTATGATATGCCTTATGACACTGCTCAATTTTTAATTACTCAGGGGGCTAGCTCCCAAATATATAACACTTGTGGTTATTGGATAAGTCTTGTCTGCATCTTTATGTTCTCTGGCCTTTTTGTTGCTCCCTTGGCTAGGACTAACACTTGTGTTGAGGAAGCTGTAGTTTCATGGCCCTTTCCTCTAAAGCAGCCATCCAAAAGACCGGGAGGCATTTGAACCTGCTGACAGCTCCACAGAATTTCAAGTTATACTTTGTCAACAAAGTATTTAAATAATGGCAAACAGCAGCTGGGGTCAGCGTGAAGTATTTTTAAGTACCATCGAAGAATTGTTTTTCTTATTGCCTTTTCTCTGTCTTGTTATGCTTCTGCTATAATTAATAATTTAATGCCTTTTAAAAAAAAATGTACTGGAAGTACTATGGAGCTGGTTTAGACCACATTTAACCACTGACCTTCTGATTTGGGAGATAGCCAACTCTTCCTCCTGAGGCACAGCTACCCAATGATGAAAAATAAAATAACTAAGAAATGGTAAAAGTAATGTGTAATCATAAAAATAGAATTTAACAATGAATCAAAGATTTCTTTTGCTTATGTTCGTTCACACTTAACTATAGGAACAGAGAGCTTTAATGGTCTGCTGTGAAAGGAAAGACCTTATTTTTGGCTGTGTCTGATGAGATTAAATATAAAGTCTGTTTCATGATTTATTGATCATCATGTGATGATTTTAAGAGCTGAACTTCAAGGTGTCTTTTTCTGTGTGTGCGACTAGAATGGGAGAAAAAAAGTGAGCCATGGAGAAACCTTTTAAAGATTTTCTTTTTCTTGTTTTGCTTGTAAAAAGATATTGATTTAAGTCTTCCCAACTTAGAAAAAACATTTTAAAGCAAAGATGATAGACATTGTTTCGCTATGCATTTGATATTTGTGGCATGACAATGATTTATAACTGCCAGCTCTTTGGCGAGCAGACATGCAATCATGCTTTGGTAATGCCAATGATTTAAAATATTATGTCATTAAATCTAAGCAGCAGCCTAAACCATACCCCCGCCATGCATCCTTTCCACAGATGCAACCAGCAAACAGTGTATTGATTAGCACGAGGATAGCAAGATAAACAAAATGTAATTTGTGACATTTATATGTATCGTACTCATTACACAAGACAGACTCAAACAGACTCGAACTTTATCTCATTCTTATGTTTCAGTAAAAGCAACCGTCATTCAATACTTACTACCTTCAGGTCCAACATGAGCTGCTCACTTTCACTTGAGAAGGCAGAGGGAAGGCAGACACGGGGCACAAGTATAAATGGAAACAAGGTCCCTCCAGTTGTGGAGATTTAACGCAGGGCTATTCACACTTTATGCCGCTCAAAAGCTTCAGCACCACGGACAGCTCCTTTAGTCTTTAGATGCCGTGTGGTCTCCATTAGCGACCCTTTTTACAGCAGCCAAGAATACTGGAGGCATGTGGTAAAAACGCACTCTGCCTATAGAAAAAAAATATATACATGTAAAATCAACAAAAATGCAAGCTGCCCCAGTTATGCGTAAATTATACAACTCTGCTGAACAATGCCTTAATCTTCCTGTCCGCACGGGTCTCACGGGGGATCATTATTCTTTAACAAAGCAGTGGGTCTTTCAAACTGCCCGTGAATGTATACAAGCACCACTTTTGCAAACTCTTTCAAATGACCGTTTTTATTTTTATTATTTCACAAGCACCACAGTAATTATGCTAATGTTAAACTCCCACCGCGCAGACTTTACAGTGCAGGGTAGAAAGCCAGTAAGCCTCGCTATATGTCCATGTCAGATTCGCTCTTATGTGAAAAATGATGATTCAACGTTTGCCGCTTAGGCCTGCCAACTAAATCCTTGGCAATTTGGGCATTAATCCAATTTGATAGCCTAAGCTCGCTCCATTGCAAGTAAATCTCAGGTTGAGGTCACTGCTACGCTGCCAAACAAGGTAATTCTTTCCCTAAAGTCATTAATTACAGCGCTCAGACAAAGGCCAAACGGGATTGTGGGGGCCTACAGTAGGACAGAGATGCCAAATCACGTCTTAAACTAAACCCTCCCCCTCCCCGACTGTCATAAATTCCTTGAACAGATAATGACTAATGGATTTGTGATTGTTGTGTGCCTGGGTTTATTACAAGCAACCACACGTCTTGTCAGGCGGTCTACATGCGTTACATTAGATGGTTTTCAAGAGATGCTCGAAGTACAAACTTCTGATCTTTATATCAACCTTAACACTAAAGGCTCCCCCCCCCCCCCCAACACTCTTACACACACTCACACATCATCCTCCTCCCCTTCGTTCCGCACACCCAACCACCAGCACCCCCCAATCTTCGTTCATCCCTCTCTCCTGCTATTTGAATAGAGAGCCTGCGGAGCACTCTTTTGTTCAGTAGCGCTCAGCTGCTGGAGAGGTGAGCACCACTCTGGCTGGCGCTCATCCACTCATCGCTGCTGCTGATTCGACAAGTCCCCGAAAGACGCAAGGACACGTCTCTGCATCCAGGCGCACTGCACACGAAACGACACAGACCCTGTCTCCCTGTCTGACAGAAATTCCTCGGACTCGCGGGGCTTTTACGCGTCTCTTGGATGGTTCAGCTTCCCTGACTGTGGCGCTACCACCTGCACTGTATCACACAGACGCTCCTGTAAAGCTGCGGCATCGCTCTACATTCCTGTAGACGGGACCTGACTTGATCTGAAAGGTGAAGGCGAGTAGTCTTGTGTGTTTTTGCATATCTATTTATTTATGAATTTGTCTGACTGTATTATAAAATTAAGTCAATTTAACATTATTTTAATTCCACGAAACGAAATGGGTGTTTCACGAATTTTGTTCACTTAAAATCGATCATCATTTGGAAATGTCCTTGTCGGTACTATTCAAAGACAAAGATATGTGGCTGTTACCAAAAGAAATGTGCTTTATATCGCAAAAGTGTGTAGTCTTTGCAAGCATGCGATTCACTGCTTGAAGCTAGTTACTGCTTCCATAAGGCTATTTTTCAATTAATCCTTTTAGGTTTTGCTGTGTTGGTGATTTAGTTTTAATAAGACTCCAAAATGCACTTTGACAAAAGTTAAGCGATTTTGCTTTTTTCTGTCTGTTTGAATTACGTCGTAATTGTCCAATTATGCAGCATCTGTTGAAAAGTAATAAATGTAGCAAAGCGTCGCTCCCTCTTATTTTCTCCTTTGAGGCTGCTTATGTTCAAAAGGATGTTTGACAGCGCCGGTTACTGTACGATTTGGATCTGTATGACCATGAGCTCACTTCTTTGTAGTGAAAATCCCATTTTCTTCTCCTTTGGTAAGCCTTCAGGTGAGGCAGATGGGGACAGAGGGAGCTTTTGGAGTGGGTGTAAGTCGATAGGCAGCGCAGGCAGGGCTGTCAGCGCTGTCAGCGAAGCAAAGGAGGGAAACCTGAGACATTATCTTGGATGGCACTTGTACTCCACCTAAAGGGTCTCTCAATTATTTCTACTGAAGAAAGGCTGGCATCTGGCAGAAGGAGCTCTAGGTCACAAACTGACTGAAAAGGAGGAGGTCCAGCCCAGCCTGCATGCCACGGTTCAGTCCTGTGTGGACATGGCTTTCATTTGCCTGTGTAGCAGCGAGGAGTATTTTTTGTGGATGAAAAAGAAAGTAAAGTTTTGTTTCATTTTTCATGTTTGTCAGAGAACGGCAATGGAGCTGGAGTGAGGTTGCTCATGACCCCCTGGGAAATTAAGCAGAAATTCAGCCAAACTGTTTGTGAAATGGTTACTAGCCTCCCTCCCTCCCTTTTCTCACTCTCGCTGGGTTCTTATTCTGTCTTATAATTGTGTGTCTCAGGTATTTGCATACATGTGCACACATTCACTCAGCCAGCCAACCTAGAATTTGTCTAAGCAGTCTTCAGCCAAACAGATTATGCACCATTTTTATCTGATATTCCATCTCTCCAAATCTCCCACAACTACACAAATCTTTTGAATCTGTTTGGGCTTAGCATTGGCAATGTGATCCTTGATACTCCAGGTCTGCAAACTGACCAGCCTCATTTTCATTCTGTGACTGATTGTAGATAAAACATTCTCCTCTCACTGGTTGGGCAGCCATGTGTAGGTCTTTGTCTATCTGATAAGTGTGTGTGTGTGTGTGTGTGTGTGTGTGTGTGTGTGTGTGTGTGTGTGTGTGTGTGTACATTTATGGCCACCGATGCTTCCAGTTGCTGAGTTTTGCTGTTGGATGATATGGGCATCATCAGCTCCTGTTGCACTATTAGTATCTGGCTGCACATTAAACTGCTGTTTAAGTCCCTCTGCTTCTTTCTGCCTTGTCCACTCATGCATATTGCAGAAGGTTTCTGTGTTTGTCTTTGTGTCTCTTTCTCTTGCCCTGCACTGTTTGGACTCTCACTCATCACTCTTGCACTGGATCGCAGGCTCTACTGTTAGCGCTATTGTTCTCAGAAGAGGTATTCTTTTTCTGTGGCATTGCCAGTTCACTGCCCCCATTTTCACATTTTCTGTGTGATGAGGCATTACAATGGATGAACAATATTCCTTTAGAGAGTGGTTCATCGCTTCTTAGTGGCTCCTCTCCAACTGCGGTCAAGGCCAAAAGCAGTTCGGAAATGTTGTCATCACATCTCATGAGCATGGACAGAAAAGCAAGACAGAACGAAAGAGGAAAGAGAGAAAGAAAGAAAGAGAATGAAGAAGGGATGTAACAGACTGTGGGAGTTTTACAGCATTATCTGCTCTTTGCATGAGGTTGCGTTGTCACATATTTCAATAATGTGTCTTTTCTGGTTGGCTGCACTCAGCTTAGTGCAGACACTTGTAGCGGAAGACGTGAATGGGCCAGAATTCAATTTTGCACTTGAGTAGTGTCCAAGCAAGTAAATTGGAAACTGTGAATTTTTACAGAGATTTCGCAAATGTAAGACATTAATATTCCTACAATGAACCTTCTGCTATGCTTAAAACAAACAAAGCCGCCCTGGCACAGGATGAAACAAGGGAAAGCTGCCAAGCAACTGCACAATATCAGTACAGAAGATCTCTGGGCTTGAGTTAGACTGTTTGACTGGCAAAGGCCTCCAGCTTGAAATCCTGTAGTTGGAAGAGTGTGGCGCTATGAATCAGCTGTGATCCTGCTGTGTGTAATTTTACAGTGGGAAGGAACATTTATTAATATGTTTTTTCTTTTGTGTGTTTTCGATAAAGGTTCAGAGCTGTAGGCTCACAACGTATGTTACAAATGGGGGTAGTTTTTTTTCCCCCCATGGTGGGAGAAGGGCCAGGAGGGATACTGGAAGACTCCTGCAGTGAGAGACTAATTTACACACTTACAGTACATAACCTGGATCCAATTAGGCAGTGAAAACACTCACAGCAGCCTACGCGCATATTCAATTCTGTTTGTATAAATGATCATGAGAGTGTGCGCTTGCTATTGTCTGTTCAAGTTACACGTGTGTCGCAGCAGAACCCTGAGCACACACGACCATAGATCACATTTTAGGCCAGGATCCACTTGGCACCTCTGTTCCCCCAGCCCCAGGGTCATTTCATTGGTTTAATGAATGCTGTACCTTTGCTCGCTGGACGACGTCAGTCTCCTTGATAGACAGCTCTGGGTCCCTCCATTCCTCCAACCTGACACCACCAAGCAGATGGAGCGGAGCCTAAGTGGGCTGCTGCTAGCTTTGCCTTGGCTAATAATATAATAGCCTGGCATTAACCATGTTGAACTAGCCACTGTGCGTAGCGCCAAGCAAATGAGCAGCGCAGCTGGGCCATCATGGCAAGTGGCAGAGCAGACAAAGCCCAGGAGGCACAGAGGCAGAAAAAAAGGTAGTTTAGCACAATCCCTCCAGACGCAGCTTGTGAATATTCATCAGTCAACCTCTCCATCCCCACCTCCCCAAATCCAGCGCTCTCACCAAATGTATTATTCAAAAGAAGCATTTTCACTATTAAATACTATAAATAAGTAATGACATCTGGTAACAGTTTTTGTCTGCTGAATTAATGACAGGAGCACAGTTGAGTATCTTCCAGTGATTGGAGAAATTATTCCTGAAGGTGGATTTTTGTTAAGCCTTCCTTTCCCCTTTGTCTTGCCAGTTCAGTGTGTTGCCTCTTTTGTTAAACTCATTTGGCACATCAGTAAATCTGAATTGGCCCATGTCTCTATCATTCACCTTCTAAAACACCCAAGAGGAGAAGCAAATACTAAGAAGCTGCTTATTTTACCATTATGTCTGCATTTCCTTGCCTGAGCTAATCTTCGGAAAATGAAAAGCTCCCTGTTGGCTCTTTCTGTGGTTTCAGCACTGGACAGCGCCTGAAGAATTGCCTGTTTTGTCTACCTCATTGTTTTTCTTTCCTGCCTAACAAAAACTCAACAGGGTTCCCACATCTTCACGCACATAGTGTACAACTGAAAGACGTCTTACTGAAGGATATCAGCTATAAAATGCTGGAATTATTGTTGTACAGACTGTATCTGTCAGACTCTGATGAGCTGGTAAACAGGGAGTGCTTGGAAAGCCTACAGATGGTCAATGTTTTCCACTCATGTGTGCTCCATTTCCCAAAGGAGAAACCCACATTTTTGTTGTATGTGACAACAAAAGTGTTCGATTTTAATCTGTAGCGGTACAGAGGAGTCCCCTGGATCTGCTCGTTGATTTCCAGACAGGAAGATCATAACTAAAGTTTGAGAAACACAAGACATAAGTGGGGAGAACAATAAGAAGGACGTCTTGTTACCAAGAGTGATTTCTGTCTGTCTTCCTCTACTTTAGCCTGCCGCCTGGATTCTACACAGTGGGGCTATTTATGAAGCCGAGGCACCAGTATGATACTTATAAAGCCCTCCTCGCTAATAACAGATCTAGCTCTGGGGTTCCTGAAACCAATCACAGGGATTTATGGGAGAGAATTGGAAAGTAGTAAAATTAATTTTATTCAGAACCTTTGCACCCAGGTTAAGCTTATCCATGCACGCTGCTGCCAGGTGGGGAGCACATTATTCTAGTTCTGCAGCTGTTGATATTGGTTAGCACTTTTGAGCCACACAAAATAAGACACAATGTGATTTTCCCTGCTTGGTGTTATTCACGCAAATGTTGAAAAACTATTATGTTCAGTAGTCCTTAGTGCATGATTTCTGGAAAATTATTTGGCTTCAGAAGGTTTCTTGTTGGTTTATTTTGTCATTGTAAAAAAAATAATAAATCAGTTCTGCTTTTTATTCTGTTCCCCATCCAGGAAAAAATAGGTTTCTGTAACCCTCCTGTCTGTCTCCCTAGAGGCAAAGAACTGTGAATCATATTTTTCTTAAAGGTTTTTATTGTTGTGGTAATATTGGCTTTTACTCTTGTTCACAGTTCTTCTGATGAAGCAGCTCTGCTCATTTTAATGAATCCAGACGCTCTCACAAATTAGATTAAAATATAACCGTCTTGGACTATGACAATCACATAAAAGTCACTCTAAAAATATAGTCTAAACTTTAATATGTAAATCTACTCTGACAGAAAGACCAAACCAAGCCTTCTTATGTTGTGTTTTATAGGGTGTGATCAAAAATTCAGAGAACAGGTCCATAAAAGTCAAAAGCCTTACCTGATTTAAAGTTGTCCGATTTCAGATTCAAGGTCATCTTTTTCAGGCATGTCCAGGGAGCCTTGAGTGTGGCTTCTATCATT